GGTCCCCTCCCTCACCCACTCTTTTTCTCTTCTCTTCTCTGTAGGGCTTTTAATACAATTATATATATATATATAACTAGACGAACCTTATGCTTGTACGGCAGTGAAGCATCAGTGCCAACACTGATGTTGCCGTCTTTGATGATGATGACATGAAGTCATCACCACAAGTCCACGCTAAAACTTCTTGTATTGTTTCACTCCTAGAGGTCCACTGACTAAATGAATCCGAACACTAAGCTGCATAATCAACCGGTTTAAACCAAAGCAAATGCTTTGGTAGATGCCACTTTTAAACCCGTGGAACGTTTATTGGCGTTCATCCTATAACTTCCATTTACTCTAAAATCGAGAGATACTCGCAAGTAATCGCAATTATTTGCTGTTTTCACTGTTCGACATTGTGATTGTTCCTTTAGAGGTCGCTTGAACGGTAAAAGAACAATAACCAGTAAGGCCACGAAAGGCAAGTCACGTGCCATGATAGGCGTTTGTACTTGGTTGATCGACTAATCGTCATTGAGAACTGAGTGACGTAGCGAACTTTTTTTGCGCATGTCAAAATGATATCCTCAGTTTGATCAGGTATTCTCTCGGAAAAAAAACTATGCCAGTTAGTCAGAAGCCGTTACGTGACTGTGAAAGAATCTATCGGTTTATTACGATAACCAATTATGTAAACCATTTTTGGGACACTCAGGTCAAGTTATATTGTGAGAACAGATTCAAGAAGCTTTAACTAAAAGGACATAATTTAGCTAATAACGTAAACATGTGTAAACTTTTGTCTATTACGTTGGCTAAACTGTAGTTTCTTGGCTTAGTCCATGTGTTGAAAAATCTGACTCTTTGGGAGCACTCAAGTAGCACAACATAGCACAAAACTATTTGACCGGCCACAGCTATTTTGCCATCAAAAAGTGCTAAAACAGCGCCCCGTAAAGATTCACAACCGCCAGAGTGGCAAACACATGTCCAAAGTTTGGGCGTTTGTGGTAGGTACTTATAAAAGCCTGCTCATCGTCTATTGATTATTCAAGGATGCGCCGTTGTCTTCCCATTTGCGAGCAAAAGGTTCGTACGTGATACTTCATTCCACAGAAAGGTGCAAGGGAAGCAGGTATATCCACAATCAGTGCAGTGGGATCTTTTCACCCTTCCAACTGTCCCTGCAGGTGACTGGGAGCCTCAGCACAACGCACACGACCACTTCCATACTTTGGTCTTTAGACGAATCGCCTGGCAAAAATTCGTTTGTCATCGTTCGCTGGGTTTGTGCTAAATGAGGTCTGCAAAAAAAAAGCTAGCCGATAGCGGCCTACTGAAACATAGGGATCAGATTACAGTCCCTCCCGTAAGTTTGCTCTTGATCGATTTGCCTAGAGTTGTAGGGTTTCGAGATAGCTTCCTACCTTCCCCCTTTCTGTATGGTTTTGTGGTGGCCGAGTGCCAGTATGTATTATCGCTTTGTGGCCACAGGTGATGATGGGAACATTGCTGAACTCCATGCGTTACCAAAAGACTTTATTTATTCTGTTCCCTTGTTCCTCTTTCCAGAGAATCCTTATATTCCATTCCCAAGTTTCTAATTCTGACTACAACAAGCACTGAAATCGTCCACCCTAAATAACCAATCACTGGTGAGCATTATTTGCGTGATTTATGGAGGCGGAGTGCTACTCTCACTCTGTTCACCTTCAGAATGTGAAAATGTCAAGGAATATGTGGTGCGCGGTCAGCTTCACGTTCTCATCAGCTGAGCTAAATGGGTATTCATACGGCTTATCTGGCAAAAAATGTAAAGTGTTTCTCTCGTTCTAATAGTCTTATCTCATCCAAAGCTAGCTACATTGTTGACACTATTACGTTTGAGTACATTGATAATAGGCGTTATGTGCCACAAAGAATACGCTCGACAGAGCGCAACGCAATAGCACGCAAATGCGACCAGTGCAACAGCAGTTAACTTACTAAATTTGGCCATATTCTCAGTATACAGTCTCAGAATAGTCCAATTATGACCAGTTCCGAGATGCTTTGCGCTGCCAGCTCAGGATTTCACTTGGCACTCCAGTGTACACCAACCTGTTTGACAGGCACCTTTTATGGTTATAAAAAGAGAAGGGCTTTCTTCCATCCACTAAAGTAATACTACTAGGTATACTCGAATGCGCAAATTTCCCAAGCCACATAGGCTTCCTCCGCAGACGCGTGGTAGTGATCTCAGAAGTAATGAAGGTCCTTTTATAAAGAACGTCAAAAAATGTAACATAAGCAGCAGCGTCATTTTTTGGGGGAAGAGACAAAGTAGAGTGCCAGTGAGAAACTGGGGCAACGGGCCCTCTTATTCGGTCTTGAGGTGAGTAAAATAATATGGACGCCCAACACCGTGGATGAACTAGTCAAGGAACTCATAAGCCGTGCTAGTTTCTTTGAAAACTTACTAAGTGCTAATGAAGCACCTACTCAAAGTGTAGAATGCAGACAGTAGCCCAGTACTCAGTTTGCCCACTTATGCAATGTGTCCTCGAGACGAAGTGTTTTATACACTGATTATGTCGCAGTACGTTTTCTTGCCGTCAAAAGTTTTTTTATCCAAATGCTAGTGGTAAATGTTTGATTTTAATTTAGTGGAAAGATCAACACTGATATGGGAACGAATACTTTTGTTACACCAACGGGCACAACAAGCTAGCGCGGGAACCTCACCAAAAGTGCTTACCTGTAACCCAAAGCCAATAAAAGCAAGAATCCCGAGCCAGCTGTGTATTGAATAAAGAATTATTGGTGGTCTATCTTTGCGTTTCTCGTAAGCAGCTCTCAAACCCACCGCAGCAAAGACCAGGGCCAAAATGAGGAGAATAGCGTGTGCAATTTTCAGCGGCATCTTCGGCGCTGAACGGGCCACCCGAAAAATAAGAATTGCTGAGAACGGAAAAATTAGTAGTTAAGATATGTGCATCAAAAATGGAATAGGACAATTTATGAGGGAAAATCCAAGAAAAATATCCACAGATTTTCCAAACACAAATCAAATTACTTCTGCATCAACAACTTTTGAAAAAAAAGGCTACAGCCTACTATGAGTGTTTTAGTGTACATGAGGTTTACTACCATGGACGAGCTGGAGTTCGGAAGTGTCATAGTCGCATAGGGTTGTAGCATCGAAAAAATTCATGGCCGAATATCAGTGTTATATTTTTGCGTATAGTTACTTTACTCTAAACATAAAAGTCCGTATTTTCAAAAAAAGTGGAGATATCGGAGTAACTTCAGGGAAGTGAACAAATATGCACAGAAAAGAAACTTCCTCTCGGTTGCTGCTCAGGTGCAGCAGAACAATTAAGAGGAAGGTATTCAAACAATCAATCGAACCCAGGTGAATAAGACTGTGGAGCAACCGAAATTCCTATCAGGTCAAAAAATCTGTCCGACTTACAACATCAAACCATGTCATACTTAAGCGCGAGTAGACTCGGAAAAATATCTATCCACCCATGCGCTAATGATTTTTTTCCGCATACCGATGAAATGTTTGCAATCTGCTCGTTTAGCTTAGCTAACTGATCATCAGCCAACCAGTGCACCCTACCTACCCGTTTTTCGACAAATTTACAAGCTTCCTCTCACTAAGAACTTTCTGTGCCGTGAATACTCTGGCAACAACACCTATATTTATTTTTCTGACAGACACAATGACTTCATGAACTTGAGTACATTGCGTAAGTTTTTAAACAGAATGAACTTAAGTTGGCCGTTTAAATATTCGTTTGCGTTTAACTTCTGTCACTGCTTTGTGGTCAAAATATTGTTTGAACAACAAGAAGGCCACTTTTAAGTTTTTTGGAATTTGATTAACGGGGATCACACTTGAGGCGATATATATATATATATAATCAAATATTCAACCATCCGCTTTTTCAGCTTTGTACGCAAATTTCACAAACACTGAACTGCTGTGTAACTAAAGCTGTGAAGCGATTGAACAAATCATTACAAAGCATCTTATTATGGTTATTAACTGAGCTTTGTGAGAACCTTTTCCCATATAATCCCAGTGCACAACGACAAGCGAAATTTAGCCTATTAATCCAGCTAGGAAAGTCTGCTTGTGCTGCACTGGGATTGTTGCGCACAGAGTTTCTAACCACCTGCAAACAGGACTACGTGTGCTAAAGCCAAGAAGCTGCGAAGATTCTAGAGCACACAATTTGTCTGTAGCCCCCTTCTTTCCACTTTACCATATCATGGTTTATACCTTGCGAATCTTTTGCAAACAACAGGTTGATACAGCAAAAGACGCTTCTCACGGTAGGCCTAATACATGAGATCATAATAAATAGATGCCCCAATCACTTCAACCTGATAAATGTAGCACTCTGTCCGGTCTACGCCTCACTACACCATAGAAGTCCGTATGGTATTTAGATGCTCTTAGGTGACCCCTTGTCAAAATACTATAAACACTACTCATATTTCGAAAATACTTCTTATAGTGCATATAGTAAAAGCAAAAATCAGCAGGAGTTAATAAAAATAATAACTATATGGTCATGAAGCTCTTCAGATGCATAGCTGCGGGGTATCTCCAGCGATCGCAAGGGCTGAGATACTGGCTCATTACCCAAAATTAGACAGGATCAGTGGAGAAGGGTTGACTAGATATGATCAATGGCAAGTTTCGACCTAGTTAGAGATGTAATACTGGATCATAACTGTTCAAACCGTGAGTCAAGATCATGCTTTGAGCGACAAAGTCTAGGACCTTAGGACAAACCTCCCTTCAGCTTTGGCTGGATAATAATTGACGGAAAATTATGGGCGTATCGGCTTGGATCTGGTGGATAAGTGTATAGCGGTTTGCTAGATTAGATTTGACAAAAACCTTTTCATTTCTTTTTCAATAAGTTACCAAACCACTTGTTTTACAGAAGCCAGAAAGGTGCTCCCTGAAAAGGTGGTCCAAGATACAAAGTAACTTTCTGCTCAGATGGGTTCCGAACCGCTGATAGCATTTTCAACTTCATTTGGTGCGCTTTGGTTGAGAGTAATTTTTAAGAAGTAATCCAATGGAGCCTGAGTATTTTACATAAAAAGTTGGGAAGCCACTTACTGTCTATACAGTCATTCGATAAACGAATGGCCTCCTTCTTTTCAACAAGCTTTGTGAAAAATTTATTATACCGGTTATGACCCTTCCAAAAGGGGAAGTCTTTGATAATCCCAGATACGTGGAGTGCGTAGATTAAAAAGGCTGAAGCGCAAAGAAGTTTCTTCTTAGTGATCTTGTGGCCGCTTCTTGAATGATACAGACGAATATCCTGAGTGGACAAACTGGTGCGACAGTACAGATAACGTCAGTTTTCTCCAATATAAAACAGAATCTTGTTTGTGGCCTAGCAGATACAGAGAAGGTTATTTGGAGTGAAAATACTATTCAGGATGAAGTAGTCTTTGCCGTTTACTCGTACACTGAGGATGGTTCCCGTGTAAATTTACTGTGAGGGAATTTTTGTGATTGTAAAAAGACGAAAAGTGTTACTGAATGGTTTGCATCTCCACAAATCAAAGTGAGGGCTGTAAATGAAACTGCTCAGCTTATCTGTGGCCATTTACTTACAGTGAGCAAACTGGGTACACTCTCGAACGAAACCAGAAATGCAGCCGAAGGGGACCAAAATGAATTAGTCAGCTGGGCTGAAATACAGCTTGAAATTATTCTGACAAACAAACCCTATCACTGGTTGACGTACCTTATTTTTTGACTGTTTCGGTACTATGGATGTGTAACAGCACGAATTCTGTCCGCAAAGTTTTTCTTCCCAAATTTAAAATTTAAAGGAGCCCATCAGAGGCATCAGGCACTGTTAAGGTCGTCAGAAAACTGTGAGAAGACTCAGCAGTCTTCAACTGAAATTTCGTCCTGTACCTGAAGCCAGCCTATGCTGAAGAGCCGGTGAGCTCTGCGCAGCTGTTTATTTGTCAGGAATAACCAGTGGTACGCATATAATGAGAGTTTCTAATTCGCGACTCCCCGGCTAGTACTTTGAAAACTTAATTAATCGGTCAAAAGCGGCTCATCAGCAGTGTGACCAACGAGCTACTGACCAAATAACTTCAAAGATCATTCGCAACCAGCTTTGAAAGTCCAGTGGTACAACAGAAGCGCAAATTTCATTATTCAGCTTGCTCCTCATTGTTCTGATACAAATCCAGATGTAGCAGAAAGAAAAAAAAACTTGAAATATCTTTGATCAAGGTGCTTCTTTTGGACTAACATGAGTGATCATGCAGCCAAAGAGAAGTTGTCAGATTAATGTTACTCCAATTTTGCACCTCCTTACGGTAGAAGCAAAACCCTTATCCTCAATGAACGGTAGATTTATGATTTTGTCGAATTTCAGTGGTTTGAAATTATGCAGTGGATAAGGGTTGACTCTTGAGCGGATGTTTAGCGACCACTGAACTGATGTTTGCAAGAAAACTCACAGTGGCAAAAGTCCCATAATTTTATCTGCCTAAGATTTTCATGGCTAAAACAATGCTTATTTTCAAAAAGTAGTCTTTCTTTTAATGGCCTAACAATCGGATTTAAGAGAACAACTTCACTAGCTCCATTTCATTATTGCGTCTGTATAAAAAAGTGGTATGTGCAGAAGTGCTTGCTTGTCCCTTCGAGGAATTTCACCAAGAAATTAGTCACTCAGAACTACAATAACTTGGAAATTTCTGTGTGAGTTATATTTTTACGGGAGTGATTAATGTGAATGTATTTTTCTAAGCACAAACGACTCGGATAGTACTTGTCTCCAAGAAGCTTCCTAAAACGATACCAAAATGATGAATAGGCAAGGTTGGGTACTTTTTTATTGTTTAGTAAACTCACATATAGTGTTTTCCAAGAAACATGTATCACAATTACAAGAAGAATTAAGTCCATATATAGAAATAAATGAAATGGAGCTCTATTGCATTTTTTTAAATCACTCCTGCTCGTCGAAGTCAGAGCACTTTATGTCCATCAACGTTGCGGGTTATTGTAGGATATTTCAGTTACATCAAACACTGCCGATGACAGAGCACTCAGGCCAATAAAAATGAATTGTATAAATGTGGTGTTCTTCCTCAACATGTTGTACATCTGTCACACTAATGACTAAAGATTGTACCGCATATGGGTCATTTAGATTGGACGTCTCGAGTAAGGGCTGCAGTGAGAAAACAGCCCAGGCCCATGCACATGGACTTCTTCTTTCCACTGATGTAATTTTGGGAAAGACAATATATTTTTCAATGCGTAGTGGGCCAAAAATATCGCTTGAGTTGATGAACAAGTCATCCAGCTGAGAATTACATTGCTTCATTTAAGATTAATAATATTGGTCATCTCCACTGACCAACCGTACATTAGTTTTGAAAGCAGTATACTTTAGACGTGCTATTGGCATACAAACACAATATTTAGCAAACTTCTTGCAATTCGTACAACTAGGTGATCTGTTTGAATAGCTGGTTACTGGAAAATTTGACTTTTTAAATACTTCTGAACTATAGTTTTTCCATAGCTGAAGTATTATCTTCACCAGTAAAGGATTATTTCACTCAAAAACTCAGGACGACAACCAAGGTTAGCATTTCTAAAGTGTCTTGATGCTTACTAGGTGGAGTAGTTGTTGATTATCTATTCCAAGCCTTGAAAGATTGTCCGTGGTCCACTACCAGGATCATCAAAAAGCTGTACACCTACCAAGAAGCAAAAATCACCCTTCACAGATGGAGCTTATTTTTACTGGGTGCCCGCTGTTGATTCTTACTTACGTTTATCTCCGTGAAATGGGAAAACGTTTTCTAGTTGAATCGTTCAGCTGATAGTAGCCATGCAGAAAAAAGGAGCGGAAAATCCTCTTTAAAGCACTTTCTACATT